GTTGCCAACTTGTGCGCAACAAGAAAAAGTCCGGGGCGGTAAGGCAGGCAGGTCAACCAACGGTCAGGCAACGCTATGAAATGAATCATCGTGAGGACAGCGAAGCATCGCATGGTGTAATAAACCAGGCAGCTATTTTGGACAAAGTGTGCCCGCTGAACTGACCGATAGCGACTGATGAAAGTTGAACACCGACGACGACGACGGTGGGTTATCGTAATCAAGAAAGAGTGGCCAACGTCAGCGTCTGCCCTACCATCCATACCTTTGTTGGATATTGCTCTGGATTATCACTGCGAGATGCGCGTTGGCGGCCGGGGTTGTGTTCTTTTTTGTCCCAAGTGCCGCCGTGTTACACTTGTTGGTTGTCAATCATCATTATCCCCTTTTCCATTGCAGGCCTTCTCGAGTTGTACCATGAGTTGCCATTTCCATCCGATCCAAAGAGTGTGGTGTGGTGTGGTGTGCGGTGTGTGGTGTGGGGGAGGGGGGGGAAGAAGGGGGTTCGGGTCCGCCCTTTCGCGACCGATCTCTACCCCAGACGGAGAGGCCCGTCGTGTAAGTGATAAGTGATAAGATGGGTGGAAAACGGAGTCCACTTTGACCAAGCTGAGGTTTGAGATATGGAAATCAAGAATTTTTGGCCCGTGTTTGATAGCTAGCTATGTGGAGTTTGCCCTTGATCCATCAGATCGGTAAATCAGCTGGGCATGGAAAATATAGTGCGGTAGTTTTGTTTTTGTTGACTGAAAATTCCAGTTGTTGATGGTGGTTGGTTGGAAAGTTATGAGAGGATGTCATGATAGGTCACTTACACTGTGGTCTGGACAACCCTCAAACAAACATTTGCAAGGGAGAGACAAAAAAGACACACACACAGAAATGAAAAAGGGATGGAAAAGCAACTGCCCGACACAACCAAAAATGACAGAAAACAAAAGCCCACTCTGGCAGAAAAAAAAATGCGTTGTTTGCGCATGCAGCAGCAGCATTGCCAACTGTTCTTGCAGTTTGTTTTCTTTGATATCAGGGCTTTCTCTCGTCTCCCAACTGATACTCTGGATAGCGACGGGTATCGCGAAAGAAATGCCCAACTGCCGCCCGCACCGCCCTGCCGTTTGCTACATGGAAACGGAAGAGGGGGGATTCAGGGAGCGGTGAGGCTTCCACGAGGTGCATCGCCGGCACCTCACTTTCATGCAGGAGGTGTGGGAGTGTGGGAGGTGCGATATCTGGCAGCCTTGGGCGCTGACGGTGAGACAGAAACCCAACAGGGGGTCTGGTCTGTCCGTCCGGGGAAGGTCTCTCAACCCCAGACCACCACCGCACACACACACACACACACATTTTTTCCAAAGTACCGAAACCTCCAGCTAGGGAGAATTTTGCAGCGTTACAAGAAAATGGCCAAGGCGGCGAATGGGGCCGGAATGGCTGTGGGCCCTGTTCTTGTCAAGAATGGCTCCCCCGTCCGTCCGCCTGAACGGAGCCGAAGAGCAAGGAGATGACCACCGCTGGGACCGAGGCGCGAGCGCGGTCGCAACGGACGCCAGAAGGTGAAAAAACTTCTCTAACCCCGTCTCTTCCGAGGCCCGTCTTTCCCTCTCACCCCCAACACCCGAGGTGTACCCGGACTTACACATTTCCTTCCCGCCGACCAATCATCCACCCTCTTTGGTCCCATCGCACAAACACACACAACATTCTGTGGTTCAGTCTACCACCATCGCATCACGGACGGGTTCCCGCCGAAGGGGACTTTGGACATCCGCATTCCGCACACAACAATTTTTCTTCTTCATAACCAATATCCTTCTAATTAGCGATCGGCCACTACCCGTTTTCGCTATCATCATTCTCTTCCGCGTTTCGATTTGGATCAGCTCCTATGCTTCCATCCGAAACATAATACTTTTTTCTTTTGTTCACCAAGCGAGCGAGCATTTACTTTTGGGCATTTTCGGGAACACAAAAAAGTTTGGGATTTGTTTTTTTTTATTGTCGGGGGCATTTTTACACAGAGCTTCGCAGTACACGACATCATCAGCGCCTTGCATCATCATCATCGGCATCTAGCATCACTTGGAGTTTTTGTCCTTTTCTTTTTTTTATCACCTTGAGATGGGGGTCTTGTATGATCTGAGACACTTTGTCAATGGTCTCTTGTATGTTTTGTTGGTTTATGGTTTTTGAGATACCCCATCAGTTTGGTTCTATGGATTTTATTTTTTTGCTGGTTTTGAAGGAATAAGGCAGGCGCATATGATGATACCCCCCAATTAGTTAGTTTTTTTTTTGGCTTCTCACCCTTTGTGGTGGTACATATTACTCTTCATGTAGATAGCTTCAGTAGTTTAGCACTTTAACAATAACGACAACGCAACAGAAGTTGGTTGATCATTCTTTACACTTTTGAGTTCCCACTTGCATCGTCATGACTGAACACTGCCTTTGCCATGGTGTTTCCTCTTCAATCTGCTTACAAGGCTGGACTTGTATCTTTCAGCCTCGCGCATCAATCACTCTCTCATAACCAATCCATACGGGCGCGCAAACCGCGACATGGTTTCAAAGTGTCTGAGAGATTAGTCGGGGCTATGTGAGGAGAATGCAAGGGGCGTATATAATCGGTCGTTGGAGGAGTGGTATGTATTGTAGGGTTTTGATTGTGGACCGACATGTATGCCAACATTGGGGATTGGAAGTCGAGCTAGGTAACTGATGGGTTTCAATTAGGCGCCTGCTTATCATGTGGCTGTCTCCAAGCGCCAGCCTGGCTGTTTTTTTGTTTCACAGTGATGGCCCATTAACCAAAAGGCTTATCGCCTGCGACCCAGTGACTGGCCATCCGTCATCAGTCAATGGAATCGGCAGGGCAGAGAGTTCTGACAGCCGTCTTCAGCCCAGTAGGTATATATGTCACCCCATTCCCACCTTACTTCGCATCTCTAGTTCTAATATTGTCAAACTTGCCTACCAAGTTGAAGCATAACATATACAAGATCCGAATCCACCTTATCCAACCTATCCGGTATATACTTGTAAGTCTTCCTGTCACTAGAGCCTCGATGTCCAATTACTCACACCTACACTGTCACGCCTCAGCCACCACCACAGACCAAAAAATGGACAAGGAAAACGATCCGCCAGAGGGCTACGAACCGGGCGACCCACGTCCATTCGACGACCCTCAACTGCCGATACAGGGACGTTAATAGTCGCTCTACTTCTCTGGCTTTCATGTATATGTTATCTACTGTTGGCGGGTAGTTGCAAGGGGTGTACGGTGTTTATGTGCTGAAAGCTGGCCCGCGACAGGTACCTGAACGCGGGGGGGGGTCTTTACTCGCAATCGCAGTAGAGAAGTAACTGGCAAGGCCAGGGCGACAGCCTACGGGATATGTCACTACCCGATGTTTTTCAGCTCTGGAAGTCTGAGAGTTCGTTGTTGGAAGGGGCGGAGGCGACACTATCTTTTATTCTCAATAGCTTCAACGACAAACCCCGCTGAAAATTACGGGTTGATTCCTGTGATGTGTGCCAGTGAGTGATATGCAGATGAGGTTTAGTGACTGGTGAAGACAGAGCACCGTCCCAGAACTTCATCGAAGTAGCTAGCTTTTGTAAGATGGAGTGAACTAGTGAGATGATGTGTCTTTGTATTCTCAGGGGTATAGTGGTGTCTGGTAGAAATGAGTTAACCCTTGTTTCTGATAGGTGAGGGTAATATTTGCCTTCAATGCAGTGTAATCTTTAATCATGACAAGTACCTTAGGTAGTTGAGGTAAGAGTTAAAGGTTAAGAGGACGTTTGGATTTGCGCGGGTGCTTCAAGGGCGGTAAATGCTTAATAGTTTTTTTAGAAATAGGAGAAAGTAGGATGGGTAGGGACAGGCACTGGATTGTCATAAGGAGAGCTGATGACGCCTTCCTAGATAGGCCGTGACACATCAGGATTACAGTGGGATTGCACTTGGTCTCTGTATCTTTATCGTCTAACGACCACGCACACGAAACTCAAAAAACTAGCTACTTCCAAATAACTCTCTCAGGTCTCCAACCTCACCTCTCTAATAAGCACATCTTCAACACACCGCAGCAACAGCCACTCCAACATCATGTCTCAACCCCACAACTTCTGCTTCCCCGTCCACACCCTCGCCAACGACAGGGTTAAACTGGTCCCCTTCTCGGTCAGCCTCACCTGCTCCCAAGACCCGTCACGCACGGAAAGGACAGCATGCTGACAGTCTCTATCCCCCCAAGCCTGAGCGCCATGCCAAAACCTTTGTGGAACACAACGTCGCGAGGCCGGACCTGTACACTCACATGCCCACCGGCCCTTATGCCACCACCGAGGAGTTCGTCTCCCAATTCCTCGAACAGACCTCGCGGCAAAACCCGGGATGGTTCACCTTTGCCGTCATCGACCTCACCCGCCCCGCCTCCCCCGAGGATGAGGAAGGGGAGCTAGCAGGCATGATGTCCTTTATGGACACCTCCCCCGTCCACCTCTCCACCGAGATCGGGTGCATCGTTATTTTTCCCGAGTATCAACGCACCCACGTCACTACCAATGCTGTCGGGTTAATGCTGCGCTATGCCCTCGACAGCCCGGAACAGGGCGGGATAGGGTTGAGGAGGGTGCAGTGGAAGACCAGCTCGGCAAACGCCGCTTCTGCCCGCACCGCGGAGAGGCTGGGCTTCCGACACGAGGGTGTTTTGAGGTGGCACATGGTTTTTAGGGGAGGGGATGGGAAGCACAAGGTTCGGAATGGGAAGGCGCTGCCTAGGGATAGTCCGGCGGGAGACTACGGAAGGGATACTGTTATTTTGGGGCTTTGTTGGGATGATTGGGAGGGTGGTGCGAGAGAAAAGGTTGGGGGGTTGATGGCGAGACGGGGGTGAGGTTTCCCGGGAATTTGAAGAGGCTATTATGGGCTTGTTTTGAAGAGGATGAGAAGGGGAGGAGGCCAAAAAGAAAAAAAGAAAAGCATGGCAAGGAAAAACAAAAACATACAACACCAGGGATTCCCCAGTGGTCACCCACCTGAGTACTGGTCTGGCCCTTGGCAGCTTATCTAGGGGAGAGCGGACGGGATCCCGAGTTTTCTGCCAGGTATGGTCGTATGTGGTAGTCATGATTAAAATATCAGGTTATAACTGGTAGTAGAAGGTCAAGGTGAGGAAGAAGTGTCCAACCAGAGGATAAGTGGCTAGCATTTATGGTTGTTGAGATCAGATTATGACTCTGTTCGACTCTTTGAGATCGAGCTGGTCTGTAATTGTGATCTGTCTAGTATTCTCACAGGAAGAAACGGTTAGGGATGTGCGATGAGACAAGACATGTCTATTCTTGAAGAGACGTCAAGACTGGTATAGGGCGAGTGCAGTTTAAGGGCGTTGACTCGGTCAACTTGAAATAGTGCAAGAGCTTGCTATATTGAAGATTGTTGGTCTGGGTTAGGTGTTCAAACTCAGACCATCACTCGCCCCAGCCGGGTAGTGAGCACTAGAGCAATCATCTCGTAAGTGTTCAGTAAGTAAAACTATACAACTGGACAGTATACGCTCGAAATACGAAAACGAACGGCGAAGGATTCATGGGCATCCACAACCATATCCACTTGTTACTTCATCATAATAGAACGCCGGGCCGGAGACATGTCTGCCTGGACGTTTTGATGGGTATAAGAGAAGATACATATTTGCTCGCAATCTGTTTCGACCGACAACATCATCTATTCTGCATCAAGTCCCATCCCTCCGTCATGCAACTCACCACCCTCCTCACCCTTGCCACCTCGGCCACCCTGGCATCAGCCGGCTGCTTCACCGGCGGCGCCGTCTGGGGCGAAGACCTCTACAACGCCAACACCCTCATGTACTTTGCTGTCTGCGGCAGTGACGGCACCGGTACCCACAGCTACAATGCTGGAGAGACGAGAAGGTGGTGCTATCATCTCACGGACAACAAAAGGGTAGACTTTAGCATCAGAAACATGCAGTCGATCAGGGACACATTGTCGACTGCCAACTGCGAGCTGCTCCGGAACGAGATTGCTGGGTGTCAGCATGGTGGGAGGAGGGCGTATACCAAGTTTGAGTTTACGTATGTTTTGACATGTTGTTTTTGTAAGAGAGAGAGAGACTGGAATATGCTGACAATGGTTCACAGGGCGGATCCGAATGATGGGAGATGCGCGAATCTGAGTTACCTCCCACCGGACTGGCCTTATCGGTGGTGGTGATTTGGGCTGGGTAGTGATAGTTTAAGAGATATTTTTGTGATAAAGATTACCTACCTATATTGCTGTGCCGGGAGATCCATCCCGGAGTCAGCTGTTGTGATTTACATACCTAGGAAGCCAATAAACAGCTGCAAATGAGAGTTCCGGACGAGAACGATGTGTTGTTGAGATGCTTCTATGGAAAGGCGCTCCAACTATAGTGTGAAACATAGCTCGGTGATACAGTCTCTATCTATCCAGATCAGATCTCCCCCATCCGTGGATACTTCGAGTAGGTAAAAGGTATCTTGCAAACTTGGAAAGCATTCACACGAAGATAAGAGCACCCCAGTTCTACAGGACTCATGGCAACTGCCAACGGAACGTCAAAAGTTTGGGCAGCAACTGTCTGGACAGCACCTGCCCTCGGTGTGAAGCTGCATACCCAATCGCGATTGACCAGTTCAAAACGCCATAACCACTCCGACTCCTCACCAGGCTGAGCTCCTTCCGCGAAACTCTTCTCAAACAGCTCTCAGTCTCCATCCATCATTCAGCGAGAAGGAGCGCAACCAATGCACCATGATGGCAACTTCTGGACCTAGACCATCACCGGCACTCGAGCTACCACCTTTGGAAGTCCCCCGAATTTTCAGACGTGCTGCCAGCTACATATTTCAGGCTTAGCAGCAATGTGACACCGACGGGATATCTCGTAGAAAACAGGTCGGCTCATACGTCACCCGGGTTAAACCCAGACCACCTTGCTGGCTACCTACTGGCAAAAAGACCCCATTCGCAGCATTCTCTGGCAAACGAAAGGATCTACCTAACCTATGGTAGCTTGGAGTCTTCCTGCAGCACCCCCTCAGGCTCAGTTATCAAGCTTTCTTCATGAATTACGCTTCTTGTCACGGCGGCGCATACCCTCTTGGAGCTAGCCTACACGAGGCGAAACTTGTAATATCTTCCGCTTGAAATATCGAGAATTTTGCAACTTTCAGTCAGCAGTGAGCCTTCTGGATACAAGGGCGAGACCTTCAGGAGAGAACCCATTCGGTTATGCCTAACAAATGATGCTTTCCATAAGCCGATCGGTCTTGTGTTGTATCCTGTACCGGGAGGTGGCCCTACGGACTTTTATCGTGTAGGTATCTTCATGCCAATGCCCAGAAGATCTCGCAATATTCCATCGGAACTGTTTGAGACAGGGGCGGAGGAGAGGGATACCTGTCTCTATTGAGCAGGTGGCGTTGCTCTCTAAACATTATGTTGTCTGTCTGAGGAGGGCTGGCATATATCGATAGAAGGTTGATTGAGTTGCGCGGGATCACATTGAGCAAGTACCTGGGGATATCGGTCTCTTCTTTAAACTCAACGTACCTGGTAAGTTCATGATGGGTTTAAACGTTTTCAAGGGTTTGTACAGTGTACAGGACCACCGCAACCATATCAAGTGTTCCTCCGGCTTTCTCTTTTCTTTTTTTCTTTTTTTTTTCTTTTTCACTTTCTTTTCACTTCTTTTTTTAGAATTATTACCAAGTTCACGGGTAACTCTGAGTCAATCACAAGGTGTTTCTCTTGCTCTCTATTTCTTTGATTACTCTCGTTATTGACTCAGAAACGAACACTCAGAATTAGGTATTAAGAAACCACCCTTTTGCGGCAACGTAAATGTCTTTCTATACCACCTCTATTCAAAACATATGAAGATAGTCATCATCAGTATCCAAACTATCATCTCAAGCCCTTGTACTATTCTCAAGAACCCGTTGATTGCTTTAACCCTTTTATAGGTAAGAGTTAAAAGAGGCTGAGAACGTTATTCGAAGTATATGGGGTAGAACATTTCTAGACATCTTTGGCAAGCTCCTAATTTCCCATTATTAGACTCTCTCGTTATCAAAGCACCCGATACCCCCTAGATATCCAATAACGTCTTAAAGATTTCCCTGCCCGATTTTTTTGAGCATGTATGTACCTAACACTAACTCAATACGTCCATCATATCTAACACTCCCAAGCTAGGTACATCACCTAAACCACCATACCTTTTAAAGGCACCCAAAGGATCAAGCCAACCAGGCCACACACGACCAGATTAGGAATAGATTTGAGTGTGATGGCCGGAAAGATTTAGAAGGGCACCTTAGAACGGACGTAGACATGGCCGTTCTGTTCTGCTGATTACAATACCCAGAGGTTAGGTCCAGGGGGAGGTGCTCTCACACAAGATTGTGGCATTCTCTCTTTGAGGTTCAAGACGAGGGACTAGGGAAATGACAGAGCTGTTTCACTTATGTTAACCCCAAATGGCTTTCAATTCTTACTATGACGGTATATAAATCTGATTTAAGAGCTGTATATCTACTTGTAAGTTCAAGGTAAAGAGATGTCGTAGCCAAATGGACGTTGCTAGGCATTTTGGCCAAGTTTTACTCTACAGGGATTGATCAAGACTTCATTATAGTATATTTGTCTGTTGGCTTATATAAGGTCTGTATGTAACTGAGTTCTTGTGCTATCATTTGAAGCCAACTTCTGTCAATGTCCGCAGCCTAGGTACCTGAAGTCAGATATTGGGGATTGATGTTTTGATACTTAATACCAATGTTTTCCTAAAGTCCATAGCCGCTATGAAAAGACGTGAAAACCTGTCTGGTGAGTCTAGGTATCTATTAATCACAGCCAACGTCCATATAGGCTGCTATTTAATTACATACTCAAAGCTCATGACAAGGCTGAAGTATCCAACAAAACAACAAGACTGTCACCACAGCATCCGCCCTCCCCGATGGCAAATGCAGATTTTAAACCAGGAACTTTCATCCCCGTCTCCATGTGTGAATTGCGAATAGCGAAATGTGATGCCCCGTGTGATCCGAGACCTCGACCCTTCGCCAACCTCCCCCTAGCGCGTGATTGATAGTCCAGGGTTCAGAAACCAGAAAAAAAAAAGGTGACGGCCCGCTTGTTGGTCGAGTCACGGCTCAGGTCAGCACGCCGAATAAGGAAAGAAAAGTTGGTGATCGGCAAGCCAGCTTCAGGGCGTGATAAAAAGTTTGCCGAGAAGCTGGCTTACTTGAAAGAAATCCCTTAGTGCTCTCAAGTCCTGCTTTTTCGTTCAGCTCTCGAGACTAGCAGTTGTGAAGGGAGTTATATGGCAGGGATTAGATCTCATCGGCGGCACAAGCGGGAGAGCGGACGACGGCGGGCGCAGGCGGGGGATCATCATCGGGCAAGGGCCCTCGCCGTCCATCCACCCGCAAAAAGCACCCGGC